TTTGCCCAAATTGAATCAGGATGATGTACACAATTTAAACAGATCAATTTTAAGTGACAAAATAGCAGACGCCATCAGAAGTCTACCAACAAAGAAAAGCCAAGGACCAGATGAATACATAGCCGAGTTCTACAAGACCTTTAAAGAAGAACTTATACCAATACTCTTCAATTTATTTCAAGAAATAGAAAAAGAGCAGCATTTCCAAACTCATTCTATGAGGCCAATATCACCCTGATTCCAAAACCAGGCAAAGACACATCAAAGAAAGAAAACTTCAGACCAATATCTGTAATGAACATAGATGCAAAAATTTTCAATAAAATTCTGGCAAATCAAAAACAAAAACATATCAAAACGATTGTGCACCACGATCAAGAGGGATTCATCCCAGGGATGCAAGATTGTTTCAACATAAGGAAATCAATAAATGTAATTCCTCACATCAATAGACTTAAAGATATGAATCATATGATCTTCTCAATAGATGCAGAAAAAGCATTTGACAAAATACAGCACCTCTTTATGTTTAAAATACTAGAAAATGTAGAGATAACAGGAATGTATCTCAATATTGTAAAGGCTATGTATGCTAAGCTCCAGGCCAACATCATTCTAAATGAAGAAAAATTGAAGGCATTGCCTCTAAAAACTGGAACAAGACAGAGGTGCCTTCTTTCACCACTTCTATTCAACATAGTTCTTAAAACACTGGCCAGAGCAATTAGACGAAAGAAATTAAAGGGAAACACATGGGAAAAGAAGAATTGGCACTATTTGCTGATGATATGATTCTATACCTAGAAGACCCTAAAAGTTCCACCAGAAAACTTTTAGAACTAGTAAATGAATTCAGCAAAGTAGCAGGATATAAAATCAACACCCATAAATCAAATGCATTTCTGTATATCAGTGATAAATCCTCAGAAAGGCAAACAAGAAAAATTACCCCATTTACAATAGCCTCAAAATATAAATATATATATTTGGGAATCAACTTAACAAAAGAGCTGAAAGATCTATATAATGGAAATTACACAGCCCTAAAGAAAGAAATCAAAGAAAACCTTAGAAGATGGAAAGATCTACCTTGCTCTTGGATGGGTAGAATTAATATTATCAAAATGACCATACTTCCAAGAGCACTATACAGATTTAATGCAATTCTGAACAAAATCCTAATGGCATTCCTCATAGAAACAGAAAAAGCAGTCATGAAATTTGTCTGGAAAAATAAGAGACCCAGAATAGTTAAAGCAATCCTTAGCAGGAAGAGTGAAGCAGGTGGCATCACTATACCAGAACTTAAACTATACTACAGAGCAATAGTAACAAAAACAGCATAGAATTGGCACCAAAACAGACTGGTAGACCAATGGTACAGAATAGAAGACACAGAGTCTAACCCACAAAACTACAATTATCTTATATTAGACAAAGGTGCCAAGAACATGCATTGGAGAAAAGATAGCTTCTTCAACAAATGGTGCTGGGAAAACTGGAAATCCATATGCAACAAAGTGAAATTAAACCTATTCTTTCACCATGCACAAAACTCAACTCAAAATGGATCAAGGACTTAGGATAAAACCAGAGACCCTGTGTCTAATAGAAGAAAAAATAGGCCCTAATCTTCATCATGTGGGATTAGGCCCCAACTTCCTTAATAAGACTCCTGTGGCACAAGGATTAAAATCAAGAATCAATAAATGGGATGGAATCAAACTAAAAAGTTTTTTTTCTCAGCAAAAGAAACAATCAGTGAGGTGAATCGAGAGTCTACATCTTGAGAGCAAATCTTTACTTCTCACACATCAGATAGAGCATTAAACTCTAGGGTATATAAAGAATTCAAAAAGCTAAACACCAAAAAAACAAATAACCCAATCAATAAATGGGCCAAGGACCTGAACAGACACTTCTCAGAAGATAATGTACAATTAATCAACAAATACATGAAAAAAGTACATCATCACTAGCAATTAGAGAAATGCAAATCAAAAGTACTCTATCATTTTACTCCAGTCAGAATGGCAGCTATTAAGCATACGAACAACAATAAGTGTTGGTGAGGATGTGGAGAAAAAGGTACACTCATATACTGCTGGTGGGATTCCAAATTGATGCAGCCAATCTGGAAAGCAGTATGGAGATTTCTTGGAAAATTGGGAATGGAACCACCTTTTGACTCAGCTATCCCTCTCCTCGGTCTATACCCAAAAGACTTAAAAACAGCATACTACAGGGACACAGCCACATCAATGTTTATAGCAGCACAATTTACAATAGCTAAACTGTGGAACCAACCTAGATGCCCTTCAATAGATGAATGGATAAAATAAATGTGGCATATATACACAATGGAGTGTTATTCAGCAATAAAAGAGAATAAATTCATGGCATTTTCAGGTAAATGGGTGGATTTAGAGAAAATAATGCTAAGTGAAGTTAGCCAATCCCAAAATACCAAATACTGAATGTTTTCTTTGATATAAGGAGGCTGATTCATAGTGAGATAGGGAGGGGGAGCATGGGAGGAATAGATGAACTCTAGATAGGGCAGAGGGATTGGAGGGGAAGGGAGGGCATGGGGTTATTAATGATGGTGGAATGTGATGATCATTATTATCCAAATTACAGGTATGAAGACACAAATTGGTATGAATATACTGTGTATACAACCAGAGATATGAAAAATTGTGCTCTATATGTGTAATAAGATTTGCTGATGCATTCCACTGTCATATATAAATAAAAAATAAATAAATTTTTTTTTAAAAATAAAAAAAATTTAAAAATGTAAAAAAGAAGGAAGATCTTTGCAGGGTGGAGGGTTGGAGGTATACATGGATATATAAATGGGGAATCTGTTAGCATACATTTTTTTGGCATCTTGTTAGTACTATGATATTGCACAAAGAAACCTGACATATTTCAAAATGTTTCCAGATATGTTTCACAGTAATTCAAAGAAGAAAAGCAGAAGAGTTAGTACCTGTCATTCCAACATAGTGCTGCTACTCTTCACAACAGTCTATTGAAATTGCCTTTGTGCTGGTTAATCTGAAGGGTATTTTAAATTACTATTCCACCTAATCTCTTTAAGGAACTTGAAATACTTGCAACTTTTTTCCTTCAAACTCTATAATTGGTTTCCATTGATTTTATTTCTCCACGAAGTAGAACTGTACTTCCTCTCTTGTTTTAGTCTCTCTTCTCTGTCCCACACCTTAAAAATGTGACATTCTTCAGATTCCATCCTGTGTCTTTCTCTATCCAATGCAATCTTCTTCCCAGGAAATGTTCATTTGCTCCTAGGCTTATCCATAACTTAGGAAAAAATAACTTACAAGTCGGAATCTCATTCATTATTTCCTATGCTTCAAACCTGCATTTCCAACTCATCTCAAAATCTATTTGTCCAAACTGTGTTCTTTTGGTGATCAATGGCAATGTCACCCACATTGAGGAAAATACCCCTGTCATCAGCAACCCCTACTGAACTTCCATGTTTAATCGATATAAAATTTTTGTTGATCCTATAACTAAAATATCTTCTAAGTATTCTGAATATTCTGTTTTCTGTTTGTTTATATCCAAGCCCAACAATTATACTCATCTCAGACTATTAAAATAAGTTCCACCCTGATCTCCTTGACATTATCTTGTTTTAATTCTAGTCCACTAAAAAATAATAATAATAAAACAAGCAAAATATTTTGTGGTTATGCCATTCCTTTACTTGAGATCCTCCATTCCTTTCTGTTGCCTACTGAGTAAAATCTAAACTTCTCAGAACAGCATACATGGCTTTTTACAATTGGACCTTTATTTGTCATGTTTTATATCCAGGCCATAGATTTAAAAGATTGGGCTAATCTGAACTATATAGATCTTTATATTTGTTTTGAGCTAATATAATTTTTTAAATTAGAAAAGGTTTATATAAAATATAGATGTCAGGTTGTCTTGAGAAACAAAGGTCTGGTAATGCCAGGTTCTCATAGTCAAATGTAAATCATCAGCTGGAGCTGAAAAATTAAATTACTCTTGTACCTTCTGTCACCCTTTCTACCTAGTATGGCTCTGCATTTCACTACAGTCCCATTTGGCTCCTGGGGCTCATCTATGGTATCTATCTGCTTCTGAAGCTCCTTGTTACCTCTGCTCTACTCACCACCCACCCACTGCATTATGTTCCTTCTCTAGCCAACATGAGATTTCATGATTCTCTGTTTGTATATGCAAAAATCTTTACTTAGAATGTCCTCTTTTGACTGTGTCATCCTGATTTTTTTTTTTTTGAGAGAGAGAGAGAGAGAGAATTTTTTTTAATATATATATTTTTTTTAGTTTTCGGTGGACATAACATCTTTATTTTTTCTTTTTTATTTTTATGTGGTGCTGAGGATAGAACCCAGCGCCCTGCGAATGCCAGCCGAGCGCGCCACCACTTGAGCCCCAGCCCCCTGTTTAACTTTTGAAATATCTACCTACCCTTTAGGCCTAGTATAAAATTCATCTCCTTTGCAAAGTACTCTTTGGGTTCTTCCCAACCTATTTACCATACAACAGTCACTGTCTGCTCTATAATTCCATAATTCTATTACAGCAATCAAGAGGAGAATTGGCAACACAAAAACTAGAAATAATGGGGCACTATGAAGACCATCATCAAATAACATGATTAAGATAATTTTAAAAAAGAAAAGAAAGCAAACTGAAAGAACAAAGAACTAAAACATAAAGTCACTGACATTAAATCTCAATTATGGATTTTAAAAAAGTGTAGATAGTTAAAAAGAAATAGTAAAGTGAAAGATTGATCTGAGAACAATCTTACTGCAACAATAAAATATAGCAAGGAGGAAACTATAAACGAGGTAATAAATTGAAGGACAGAATATGAAAATCCAATATAATTCAATTAAAATTTCCTGAGGAGCTAATTGAGTGAATGAAGTTTTCAAAATCAGAGCAGTAACTATAAGCGTACTTACCTCCTGTCAGACTCTTGTTCCTAAATGTAAAACAGAGCAAGTTGCCTGAGACACATTGCCATCCACCCAGTGGTATGTTCTCCTCATAGTCACCATCCTGTTAATCTGAGGTTCATGCTCAGTGATGCAATTTCCTCCTGGGGCCCAGAATATCTATTCCCCTGGTTTTGCAGGCTTCAGTTTTATTTTCCCTTGAAAGAAGGGACACCTCTGAAGACCATTGATAAGACAGAAAATTGATTCAAGTTTAATTTTTACAAACCAAGAGTTTATGAATGGTTAGTGAGGATTGTTGGTGAATATCAGTTAAGGGAATGCCTCTATAATTAGATCATCTGACTTCATATGCTGCCACTACTGTTTCCTCGCTGTGCAAACTTCTCTGTGCCCTGTGAAAACACTGGCAGTAAAAGGGAATTAAGTGTAGGTCAGAGGTTAGGCAGAGAATAAGGTCAGAATGTTATTCCTGTGGGGATGCCATGGGTTTCTATATCTCACTACTTTAACCACTGTCTTATAGCCAGACCTCTCTTTAAAAAAAAAACAACAAAACATACAAAAATCCTACTTTCTCTACATTCCTTTATCTTGAAACTTGAGGCTAAGGAGTGGAATGTCTCACAGAGGTGGCAAGCTTCACAGACCTTCAGTATCTCTTATTATTTTTCCTAAACATTGACCATATCTTTGTAAAATACACACCTCTTTCTTAAACTCCTCAAATTACCCAGTGAGGGTGTGTAACTTGCTTCCTGCTGTGGCTCTGACTGATGCACATCTCATTTTGGAGACTTTAATGTGTAAAAAAACAATCTGCATTTTAGATATAATGAAATAGAGTGCTTAGCCTCTCTGTGCCTCATTTTCTTTTCTGTAAAATAAAGCTAATCATTATTATTATTATGAAGATTAAATGAATCAATGCACTTGAATACCTAGATAAGTATCTGAAATGTAATAAATATTCAACAAATACCAACATTAGCAAATTTGAATCATTGGAATAGGTGATATGAATCATAGAAATAAAAGTCAAAAGACAAATCACACTTCTAAGAGTCTTGGGCAAATGTTATCATTCCATTCCAGACCTAGACAGGTGTATCATTCTGCCAATAGATGTGCTTCTTTACCCACACAAGAAGGTCATGGCCATGTTGGAAATCCCAACTGAGCATTAAAAGAATACACAAAAACTCAACATCCATGAGTGATGGCCATTTGACTACTCTGAAGGGCAGGATTCTGGTCCATCTAGAGGCCCAAGTTATTCTCCTGTTAGCACAGTTCATTTCTATCATGTCACTTCTCTCTTACCTGCAAGCTCTGATTCAGGAAGGTTTGTCTCTAAAGACTATTTCCCATGCTGTCAGCATCACAATTGTCAGAGGCATAAGAAGGACAAGAGGGCATAGCCTTTATAGCTACTAGTATGAACAGGTAAATATTAACTAGATATGTTAGTCAACTTTCTGTCTCTGTGACAAGTAACTGAGAAAAAAGAATTTTAAAAGGGGGAGAAGCTTATTTTGGTTTATGGTTTTAGTCCATTATTAGCTGGTTCCATTGCTGTGGGCCCAAGAACAGGCAGAACTTTATGGCAGAGGGGCCTGGAAGAGGAAAGCTTCTCAGCTCATGGCAACAAGGAAGGAGAGAGAGAGAGAGAAAGAGAGAGAGAGAGAGAGAGAGAGAGAGAGAGAATAAGGAATAAGGAGTCAAAGACAAGATAAACCCTTCCAGGGCATGCCTCCAGTGACCTACTTCCCCCAACTAGGTCCCACTGCCCAATAATCCATTCAAATAATTAATCCATCAAATGGATCAATCCACTGGTAAGGTAAAGCCCTCATGATTCAATCATTTCCTACAAGCCCACATCTGGACATCACTGTATTAGGGACCAATGCTTTATGTTTCTGAGTCTTTGGAGGACGGTCCAATTCAGACCATAACACTGGACATAGAAAGAAAGTATTGATAAAGATCTCCATGAACCTGCCATTTTAAAGGGTGCTATTCAATCTGTCTCACTAATCACACATCTTTTACCTAAAACATTTTTATTGTATAAAGATGAATATTAAATAATATCCTTCATAGATCCACTTGATATAAATACCAGTGTCCATATGCATATAACTACAGCATTTGACTGCTATGAGTCACGTATCTCTTCTCTACTGAGTAACTAAAAATCTAAAATTTAATAAGCATTTAATTTACATGAATAACTCAGTATTGATTATCTCAAGTCAAACAGAAGATGACTTTAGAGCTGAATCTTTGAGGGCTCGCTATTGAAAAAGAGTTGTGTGGGGCAAGCTCACACAGAAATAAACGATAAACTAAGTCCTTGGAAGCAATTTAGCAGGGCCAAATGAGAAGGGCACACCTAGTAAGAAGAGAATTGTGTAAAGATGGGTTGGTTAACAGAGGTCTAGAATTCAGTGGCAAAAAAAATAAATATTTTATCAAGTGGACAGAGTAAGTAGGGAGCCCTTGAAGAGTCTGGAAATATGAGGATGGTTTTGTCAGATGGGTTACTTGATGAAGCTATTTGGTTGCATTGTGAAAGGTGTCTCTGAAGAAGAGTCTAAGCATAGGGAGATGGGTTAGATCAGATACTCCAGGGGGAGGATAATAAGTTAGGGTGAGTCCTGTAAAGGGGATGGGAGACATGGCACCTTTCTGGATAGAACAGCTGACACTTCTGTCCTGTATATCTGGGCGCTACCAGTGCAAGCTGTATCTGAAGGCACATTGCTGAGTGCTGGGAGATTAAAACAACAGGATAACTAGCTCCAGGATTTTTGAACACGAATGAATCGCTAAGGTGCAAATGCAACGAGGCTTCCTGAGGATAAGGGTGAGAAAAGACTCTTATACAGCAGATGATTGAAAAGAACGTTGCATTTTATTAAGAAGAATCTCTCACTTAAATACTGCACCCCTTGGTGTAATAGAAGTGAAGAAATACCCAAAAGATAAAGACCCAAAGAGATGGGAGATAAAGGGGAAGTAGTTAAAATGAATGAGGAACAGAAGCTGGTAAATGTTGGCTTCCCTCCTTAGCTTTTTGGCATTTGCTTTTGTTTGTTTTCTTGGTCCCAAACTCCACTTTGTTTTATATTTCCCTTTGGTCTACAGTTAGGGTAGATTGCAAACTAGGACACAGACTTGTCACTTCAAAATCTTTCTACTGTATCTTTATCTCATGAATATCAGAGAAAGGAGAGGGAGAGGGAAGGAGGGAGGTGGGGGAAGGGAGGAAGAAAATAAAAAGAAAAACTAAAAGATGAGTAGAGAAATCTCTAAATATCATCTTCTACTGAATAGTAATCATCTTCCTGTATGCACATTCTCTAGATAACCCAAGTACCGCCACTTGTTTAAGGTGGTATTCTTCTATTCTCGAAAATGGTACTTAGATGTTGGGAAGTTATGAATTATTTTTTAAAAAATTAATGGAAATGTTTTAAAGTAAAGGCACTTGAAAATCACTCGCACCCTCTATTTACTTTTTAAAACAGTATTTTAACATCAAAAATCAGAAATTTAAGATTTATACAATTTTAAAATAAAGGTGATTTCTTTCAGTTAATGAGTTTTGGTTTACTTTATTGCTTTGCTTTTATTTTTATCACTTCTCCTTGAATTCATTTCCCCATGTATCATGAAACACTATGCTAAGATTTAAAAAAAAAAAAAAAACTTTTGTTATTAAATCACTGTGTAATCACCACGTGGACTTAAGGCCAATGATCATTAATCTCATTATAGTTCAGTTTTCTTCATTGGTTAAAATGACATGAATTGTTCTCTATTAAATGGGGGAAAATATAAATATGTCCCCTGGGAAATAAAATGCATGTGTACAAACTTGTACCAAACTGTTCAAGAATATTTATGATGAAGAAAACCAGGAGGAAGTAAGCAAACTAAGCAAAGGATACTTAGTAGTTAATAGTGGTGATTCATTATTCTCTAGCATGGGGTACTTTTATATTTATTTACACTTACTTTTACACCATCTCATTGAGAGAAAAAACATTGTCCTCATTTTATCTGAGGAAACTGATGTGAGATAATTTGACAAATATTATTAGTAGCAGATAGCTCTAACTCTCAATGTCCAATTTAATACCAGTATTATTCTCACTATCAAAGCTTCCTTGATTGTTCAAAGTCACTGAAATGAAGATCACTGTAGCCTAGAAGAAAAGTATTCATAAAATACTTTTTTTAAAAAGAGAGAGAAAGAGAGAGAGAATTTTTTAATATTTATTTTTTAGTTTTCGGTAGACACAACATCTTTATTTTATTTTTATGTGGTGCTGAGGATCGAACCCAGCGCCCCACGCATGCCAGGCAAGCGCGTTACGGCTTGAGCCACCTCCCCAGCCACACATAAAATACTTTTTAAACAAATGAAAGTTTGTTAGCTTGCATTACAGTAATAAAACTAAATTACTAAACTGTATTGTTCAGAATACAAGAAGAAATAATAACCAGACATAAAGTTGGTTTGAATGTAAAAATGTTAGTTATTTATAAATATAGAAATAAATTCTTCAAAAGATATGATGAGAAAGAGAGAAGAAAATAATTACTGAGCACCTACCCTGTGAGAAGCATTTCTGTATTCAGTACTAAAATAAATTCTCTATGAGGGCAAAATAGTTATCCCATTTTACAGATGCAGTCTACCTCCAAAGGAACAGAGCATATTCAAACCCAGTCAGTAAGAGAGAGCACAGAGAATGGCCAGGGCTTTTCTACATCACACTGCCTCCTGAACACTTCCGTAAGAATAAAGAAACAAACTAATTCCCGCTAAAGTGGATTAAATAACATATGCCCATTTATAAAGAGATTTGCATTTATGTGGGAATTTCTTCTTCACTCTTTTTTTTTTTAGTATATGGTGCAATGAAATATCCTAAGATTTATTGTAAGACTGTCTTTTCAAATAATAAGACTTCCTTGAAGCCTTGCTATTCGAAAAT